AAAAACGTAATAGAAATAAAAATAAGATAGTAGATATGTACTTTTTAGTAAAAATTGTATGTTTAAAAGTTATTTTGTAATGATCAAGTAGCAAAATGATGTTATAGAGAAAGTAAATAAGTGTAAATTATTTTAATTTTACCTTCTTTTAATGTCGAAATATTATTTAATTATAAAGCGTTTTGTTAGAGTTAAATTGTAATTGAATGTTTACACGTGCGATACAGCGAGTTAACTTTTTTTTATGATATGAGCCAACGTACCGTGATCATCTTATTATAACAAATTACCATTGTTACTTAAAATAACGTATTGTATTTAACAATATTGTACCTAACGTATTGTATCTAACAAATACTTTTCTTTTAACTAATAATACATTGCTTGGATTTGCTTTTTTAAGCCGAAGAACTTTAATACAAAATACGAAATGCTTAAAAATTTACCTGCTCTTGAATCAGAATTTTTTCTTTATCTAATGTAATACTTGTTTGATTTAAATAAAACTAGGAAAAAGTATCTATGTTGTAAAAGAAATATTTTGTAGTAAATTTTCCTTTATCATTAATATTTAAATACATAAATGGAACGTAATGCCAATTTGTCTCCAATGAGCTCCGGTCTCCTCTGCTTATCTTCACTTTACAAAGAGCATTATTTTGTACACATAATTTTAATATATAAAACATTTTATCAAAATTATCAGTTTCAACTTAAGTAGGCACGTGTCGTTAAAAACTATATAAATAAAATGCATCCATGCAATAATTAACAGCAAAACATACATATTTGATTAACTTTGACATTCTGCGGATGTAACGACAAAAATTTATTGTTTATAAAAGAATCTTTTCTTCTCTCTGTATGAAGAATAGTCGGCAGGCTTCTGTCCTGTGGATGTATTACAGACACGAACCACATCCATTTTCGAAGATACGATTTTATCGACAGTGTCAAAAAATGTGCTTAGTCACGTAGTGAATAGTACCCAAACCAAAAATGGATGTACTGGCGATAGTGCAATTTCAAGTCACTAGATTTATAAAGTACTGCAAACTCATGATTTTGAAACGCCGTCATTTTAAATTTATGCATTCGTATATGGGTAATTCTTTTACAAACCGAACGGATTTTGATGAAAATTAATCGGCACCTCTTCGATTTGACTGAAACTTTTTTTTTACGGATTCTATGTCGAAAAAAAAGAGATACGTGTCCGAGGAATTTTTTTTATTTGCATATTTTCGATAATACAAGTGATCGAACATTTGAGAATGGCAAGTTTTTTGGCTTGGAGACTCATTTTCATAAATCCATAGGTCCGAATCTTTAAGAGCTACAAAATTTTCACCAATTGCACTTTTGTAGCTGAAGGACTGAACTGTAAGAAAAAAATTTTTTTTACAAAAAATACTAACAAATTTATATTGTTATTAACAATTTAATTGTTTAAATCGATTTTTAACAAACGCCCCCAAAACGAATCAAGTTTTTAGTATTTTTATCGCATTCTCCGTCAAATTTTACGTCAAAAACATGTTTTCAAAATATGGTACCTTTTCAATTATTATTGTTAAAATATTAATTTATATAGCGCGTAACGGCCAAAAAAACGGTTTTTTGCTAATAAAACGAAATCTGTAACTCGTATCAAAAAAAGTTAAATGTAAAAGTTGTAGATAATTGACAGATCTACAACTTTTCTCGAAAATTTTTTTTGACATAACCTCAAAATTTTAAATTAAATTGCAAAAAATGTTAAAAATCAGCTTTGTAACAATTATTTCTTGACAATTTGCATAAAAAAAAGTTTATGGGTAATTAATTTCGAATCGAATCTCCTGACATGTTAGAAAACCAATCTTGATTGAAAAAAAATTATTATGAAGCGTTGAAAAAAAAATCCATCCAGTGCGTAACTTTGACATGTGGGATTTATTTTATATTTTGAAATTATGTATTTTTTGGAACTTCGTTTCTTAGCATTCATAATTATTTCTCCAATGGTTTTTTGGTTTAATATTGGTTTTTTAATTTTTGCATATTTTTAAAATTTCGCGGGGAAGTCCGCCTAAAGTGAGATCCGTAATCCATAGTGATCTATTATTATTTATCAAAGTCTTTCATGGCAGTGGTGGCTAATACAACCAACAGGGCGATATTACATGACGCACTGGATAGATTTTTTTTTCAAAGCTTGATAATAATTTTTTTTCAATCAAGATTGGTTTTCTAACATGTCAGGAGATTCGATTCGAAATTAATTACCCATAAACTTTTTTTTATGCAAATTGTCAAGAAATAATTGTTACAAAGCTGATTTTTAACATTTTTTGCAATTTAATTTAAAATTTTGAGGTTATGTCAAAAAAAATTTTCGAGAAAAGTTGTAGATCTGTCAATTATCTACAACTTTTACATTTAACTTTTTTTGATACGAGTTACAGATTTCGTTTTATTAGCAAAAAACCGTTTTTTTGGCCGTTACGCGCTATATAAATTAATATTTTAACAATAATAATTGAAAAGGTACCATATTTTGAAAACATGTTTTTGACGTAAAATTTGACGGAGAATGCGATAAAAATACTAAAAACTTGATTCGTTTTGGGGGCGTTTGTTAAAAATCGATTTAAACAATTAAATTGTTAATAACAATATAAATTTGTTAGTATTTTTTGTAAAAAAAATTTTTTTCTTACAGTTCAGTCCTTCAGCTACAAAAGTGCAATTGGTGAAAATTTTGTAGCTCTTAAAGATTCGGACCTATGGATTTATGAAAATGAGTCTCCAAGCCAAAAAACTTGCCATTCTCAAATGTTCGATCACTTGTATTATCGAAAATATGCAAATAAAAAAAAATTCCTCGGACACGTATCTCTTTTTTTTCGACATAGAATCCGTAAAAAAAGTTTCAGTCAAATCGAAGAGGTGTCGATCAGACAGGTGTTCGATTTGTAAAAGAATTACCCATATATGCGTACTTTATTTGAGAAAATAAAACCGTCAAGTATGTAAATCGATGTTTTTTAAATTGTAATTAGATTATTCATATACAAAAAATATGTACAAATACTTAATTTATGCATTCTTTAGTTTTATACAGATTTATTTGTTGTAGAAATTTTATTGTGGAAGTTCAATGCATGGAGGTGCACGAAGGGATATGTAAGTACAATTTAAAAGATGAACCATCAATCACCTTGCTTGAAATCGTGTGTACTACTGCCATTTTAACGCAATATTTCTGAGAAATCAATTATAGTACTTTTATAAATCTAGTGATTTTAGGTGATTTTGACGGTAACAGAAAAAAAGCTGAAAAAAGCTGGCAGGTTTCTTTCTCTCGTACTTTTTGCGCTCAGTATTTTTGCTTTCTTTCGTTCCTATATCCGTACTGTAGCGAGATGCTACATATAATGAATGTAGGTAATGGATGGCATCAGATTAATAAGTAATAACATTTATTTATTAGCACATACGATATCTTATTGCGACAATGTAAAATGATGATGTCGTGTATAAAACGGTTCCAGAAAAAAGAATAATTAGAATTATATGAGTGTATGTAGATGAGAAATTGAGTATCATGTTCTTGAAAGCAAACACCTCTTTAATCTTATGAACAAAATGGCGAAACAATACAAGAAGGTAACTAATAGAATTATCTTTCTTTGTTTTCTATTGTGAATTTTTTCTTTTCTGAAACAAAAGAAAGAATTGCAGAATTTATAACGGAATTTATGTATTAATTGGGATTTGTTTTCTATTCTTCTTTCTATCCCAACAAAATATTTTTCCCTTTAAAATTTTTATACGCGAATCTTTTACTTCACACGAATATAACTTTTTAACGCAAAATTTATTAGCTCTAAAAATGTATCTTTGTATTAAATATTTTGTAATTTACTTATATATGTAGTATATATTCTTTAAGACTTGATGAAATATTGCTTTAAATTCAATTTTAAAAAGATGACGAATGTAATACAAACAGAAAATTTTCAACAATTGGATGCCGCAACAAAAGCTATGTTTATAGATAAAGGGAACAATTTTTTTCATCAAAAATTAATAGATCTGGTTATTTAAAATATATATTTCTTGCTTCAGAGAGAAGAAGCATATAATGGACACTGTTGTGTGAAAACAATTTAATCTTTTAGTCGAAACAATTATTGCATGTATTATTCGATTTATAAAAAATAGTTAAATAATTGTAATTAAATAACAAATACAAAAAGAAAAAATTAATTTAGGATTGTGATTAAATTATTTTAAATAAATTATGTTTAAATATTGTTGAATGTTGATGTAAATGAAAAATAAATAAATAATAAATAGTGGTTATTGAAAACGGCAAAGTATGCAATTGTTATACGAATTTTAAAGATCAATTGAGTAATCTTTCACATGAATTCTTAAGAAAATTTTCATTGAAGAATCATGTTAAGTACTCGAGCAATCCAAAATATATACATATACCTATTATATAATAAATACACTCGTCAACAAAATTATTGCATAGATAAATTTATATCAAAATTTTGCACAAATTCAAATAAGCATATCTCTGCAAAAAATAGTTTTATTTAAAAATTTTCTTTTTTATTTTAAAAGATAAAGTCTGTACTTTACGAAGTTTTTAATGATATCTATCCTTACCTCCAGCAATTTTTTTAAAAATAAGGATGTGTTTTTTTATAAGAAATATGCATAGCGCTTGTCGGATTCTACGCTATGAAAGTATATTTTTGTCGTAAATGGCATGATAATCATAGTAAAGTATGAACTTATTTTTACAAATTAAAAAAAGATTAAGTTTTGTATGATTTTTTGTTGAAGAGCTACAAGATATTAAACTTATCTATGCATTTTATTCAATTGCCGCCAATATTAGCATATAATATCCTATGAGCATCACGAAGAGGTTATTGATCGGATTTTGCGAATCGTGTATGTATATGTGCGTGCGTGCGTGCGTGAGCGCGCGCGCGTGTGTGTGTGCGTGTGTGTGTGGGTGAGGGGATGAAAATACGAGGGTGTATATTTACTCTTTAAAATTGTGTGCTTTCTCTTTATCTTCGGATCATCTCTTGTACACGTACATGCATATTGATGCAAGTTCTAATTGACACTTGAGGAATTTCCATATTCGATGCAATGCTGTTTTCGGTGCATTAAATTTCCTTGTTGTCAAAATCGCATTATACTGAAAAAAATCCTCAATGTACATGTTATAATGGCGCCAAAAAAATTATAAAAAAATTACATAAGAAAGGGAAAAAAGTGCAGTTTATAGTGCTGTAAAAAACTTAACTTCAAAATTTTTGAATTACGAGCAGAAATTTAAAAATATCATCAAATTTAATTTTACAATTACTCATGATAAAATTTCAGTAAAATGGTGATTTATTGATAATATTGGCTATATTTTTTGTTTAATAGTTTTATGTATTACACAAATATTAAGAGGCTCTATTTCCATACTTCTGTATAAAATAAAACACCATTCTTTTAATACCCCTAATAGGAATCGCTGATAGAATAACAGGGCTATTGATTAAATCTAAACGTTAACTAAATATATTATTTAATCTTAACAAAACGTATTTATGTGACACATAGACGATACAGCTTTAAATGTGTAGCTAATTGTCGTGCTAGGTCGCCGACTGATGGTGTTGATCGCGATATTATAAACGAGTGTATATCAATCGTCCACTTCGCTAATTAACTAATTAAAAATAATATGATTTTATTGGTGAAAACTTAATTAAAGTAAGCAGTGAAAAATTACTAGGAACAGGCCGATGTGAGTGGTGCAAGTGCGCCACTTCCGTCGCAAATCCTTGATTTGACATCCCTGCCCTAAACGTTGTCGATTGTCTAATTATTATATCAAAATAAGAATTTAAGTTAAACAAAGCGTTTTTATCTTAATGAGCGGCTTTAACTCCTCTCAAAATACTCTCAAATTATTTTATCTTTCTAATTTTTTTAAATTATTATTTTACCAGCATCAAAAAATTACCAAGTAATTTATCATAATTTACTGAGTAAGTTATTATCAAATTTGGTCATTTTCATTTCTAAATGAAAGTGGAACAGTTTCAAGGGGCATTTTGGACATGTTATTTTTTTCTAGGTGGAGGCATCAAAAAGAATGTGAAGGTTACATCAATTTAAATGGTTGTATGACATTTTTTTACACAATGTGATTCCTCTAATTATAATTATTTCGCATATAAAAATATTAAGGTAGTGATATAAAAAGAATCAATAATTTACGAAATATTTTGCACTTTATTCTGATACAATACATATTGACATAAAATATTAAAGAACTCGTAAACTATTAACTTTTTGATAATCACATTCTTAATACTTTTATAAGTATAAGTATAAGAACAGAATAATGAGATAAAAGTTGATAGAAAGAAATTTATTTAGCATTTTACGAGTATGTCAATATGTGTCAGAATAAGAGTAAAATATCTAGTAAATTATTAGTTTTTTAATATCACTATCTTAATATCTTTATATGCAGAATAATTAGAGGAATCACATTGTGCGAGAAAAATCATACAATTCCATTTAAAAAAGTGGAGGTAACTTTTATATCTTTTTAGCGCCTTCACCTAGAAAAAAGACAACATGATCAAAATACGTCCCTTTCGAAACAGTTTCACTTTCATTTGAAATATTTTTTATTATCAAAAATAAGCGAGATATTTTAAATAGTCGAAGAGGATCACTCTGTATATAAATGCATAGCAACGTGTTGAAGAATTTAACAACACGAGCGCATCCTGTGTTAAATAGTTCTTCATAATCAGTGACAACAGGGATGTTCCATTTGACCACGTATAGCGATTAGAACATTTACAATTTATAGCACTGATTTAAGGCCACTTTTATCAAGTTCCAATTAACTTAACGGGCCTTTGTAGGATTCCAACTGAAGCTAATGTCAGAGAAAAAATATGAACTGAAGAGTTAAACATATTTCACTAATTATAATTAACTATAATTTTACATATTACAGGTGTACAAGTATGAAACGCGGATTTAAAAAAAAAATACGTTAAATTCGGAAGAATAATAAAAAGAGCTTTATTTAAAGTATGCTCCATTGCTGGTTACACATTTTTCCCATCTTTCGGGCAATTTGTGGATACCACGCCAATAAAAATCTTCCTCCTTTGCCGCGAACCATTCATCGAGCCATTTTTTCACATCTTCGTACGAACCAAAGCGCTGCTCAGCAAGTGCATGACCCATTGATGCAAACAAGTGGTAATCGGAAGGAGCCAAGTCTGGTAAGTAAGCCGCATGGAGTAGAACTTCCCAGCTGAGTGCTTCCAACGTGTCGCGAACTGGTTTTGCCATATGTGATGGAGCATTGTCATGAAGAAAAATGACTTTGTGTTGTCTCTTTTAGTATTCTTTTTTCAAGCAGCGGTTCAAATCAATCAATTGTTGTTGGTAGCGTCCAGCATTAACCGTTTCATAGGTTTTAACAGCTCATAATAAACCACACCCTTCAGGTCCCACCAAACACAGAGCATCGTCTTTCTGCCAAAGCAATTCGATCTTGCGGTCGATGTGGATGGTGCGCCTGAGTCTACCCATGATTCTTTGCGCTTGGGATTCTCAAAATAAATTCACTTTTCCTCGTATCCCCACTAACGATACAATGCAAAAACGACTTCCTTTTGTATCGTGCAAGCAAAATTTCACATGTGTTTTTGCGCCTCTCCATCTGTCTGCCGTCCAACTCATGCGGTACCCATCTTCCGGTCTTCTGAATCTTTCCCATCTCTCGTAGGCGATTGGAAACAGCTTGTTGACTAACGCTCAATTGCTCCGCGAGTTGTTTTTGTGTTTGTGAATCATCTTCGTCCAACAGTGCTTGCAATTCCACATCTTCGTACCTTTTTGGCGGTTTTCCGTGTTCCTTGTCTGCAACATCGGAGTCACCACTTTTAAAACGCCGAAACCATCGTTCACACGTATCTTGCAATGGAGTATGTTCACCATAAGCTTCTCGAAGTAATCGGTATGATTCAGCAGCAGTTTTCTTCAAATGAAAACAAAAAATTAATGCTGTCCGCGAATGCTCTTTGTTTGGTATAAATTTCGAACACAGCAAACACTTTTTCAATTTATCACTCGTGCGTGTCTGACACTTGTTGATGGCACTTCAAAATGACATA